AAAAAAAAAATGAAACAAGGTGTTGAATTATTAATTAAATGTGATACTGGAAATTTGTTATTTTGAATGTTAGGTTATGTATATAATACAAGAGGTTAGGTTATGTATATCTTTTAAGAATCTTTTTTCATAGAGGTTTCTAATTACTTTTATGAAATTTTGGGATTTCTAAATTAAAGTTTTTGTCATTGATATTATCGTAATATCGTAGAGATTAGTTCTTTCTCTCGGAAGAAAAAAATTCTCAATAGGAAAATTTTATATATCCTATCCCGTTATTGACTTTCAAAAATTTCCTTCTTCATACTACCAAATCCATCTTGTAGCTTTCGTGAAAACATCCACGGCGCATCCTTTCGTGTTTCCACGAGCTGTTAGTTAAATTGTCGCCGGGACAGGGACAAAGTACATGGAAACTGATCGCCGCCTCAATTGGCAGAATCGAAATTCACCACGGTGGAAAGGAAGGAGATAGCCCTTCGGGCTCGCAACGTATAATCGGGAGCAGAAGTGTACACATTGGAGAGGTCGGTATCGCTCTCCCCGGATCCCGGGGAGACGAGAAAGAACGCTCTCGCGGTTTAATGCTCCGAGCTCGGTCGAGACAAGCTGAGCAAACACTTTTCGCGATATTACCAGGATCCGTACGGGCTTTCTGCGGCTTCTCTTCACCGCTTCCCCCACTACTCATTCTCTTTCTCCCTCTCTCTATCCCGAACATGTTCGGTTCACTTGCTTTATCTCTTTTGCTCTGTGTCTCCCGTAGATACGCTCCTTCACTTGTAATGAAATAAATACTCACCTGCTCAGAAATTCACTTATTCTTTCTTTGCGTTTCATCGACCCATATGGTGCCTTATTCGATCCCCTACGGAATCTAATTTTAATTGGATGGTGTATATAATTGGCAAAGCAATTGAATTTATATCCCGATTGTGATGGGATTTGTGGAGATTTTTAACAGGATGGTGGGTTTTGCATTGGGAGGAAGGGAGATGATTGGTGTTGATTTTGATCGTGACGAATATAGCGGTTGATATTTGTAAATATATTGTGTGGGTGATATAATTTAATTGTAGAAGATTAATATTGTTGATTGAAGCTTTGATAAAATATGGAAAAATTTAAATAATTGACTTTTTGTCCTCTGATCTTTTCATTTTCATTCATTTTTTTTTAAATTCTTGAGTGATGCTTGAGATTTAAAATAAAAAAGATGTGTAATTTAAAATCGTTTTTAAATAATTATAAAACTGATAATAATTGTTAGATTAATTGATTGCTTTAACTAGATTTGTATTCTCGAATATCATTATATCGATTAAAGAATAAAGATTAAAGAATTAATCGAATACTTGAAAAGAATACATTTAAAATTCAAAATGTTAAGAATCTATATTTCATTTTGTTTTATAAATATCTATATTATAGCGTAACAAATAGTAATTAAATATTTTTAAAAACAAAGTCCGATATATTGGAAACTTTTCTATAGGAAATCATCGCAATACGATTTTAAAGCGTGAATCAGAACACAAACGAAATCAGTCCATCGCTCCCTATTCAAAGATAATCATCTATCGAACGTTGACAAAGTATCCTATCTATCCATTTGGAACATTCGTTCACAGAGAAAAATATCCACTAATGATGTATCCCCAATATATATATATATATATATATATATATATAAACGAAAATTATCTGCAAATACACGTGTTTCCTGTCTACACGGATAATTTGTAATCGTAGCAGCCAGTGGCCATAGCAAATGGGTGGGAAAATTAAATGGCCGGGTGGGAAACGGTGATCTCTCTTGGTGTTGGTAGTTAGTTACATTGGTTAGAGAGTTTGGTATGGAGGGGGTAGTAACATTTTGATACAGAGTGAGTGAGAAAAAGAGAGTGAACGAGAGAGTGAGAAAGATGGATAGATGAAGTGGTGGGAGGTAGTAGCTCATCGTCAGTTCGAAAGGCCGTTGGTAGGCGCGCGCATACACTTGGCGCGAGCTAATTAGCGTCTTGATTTACTTAATCCCAATTAATGCCTTTAGCTGCAGAGCAACACACAGTCGTCGCGTTCCTGTGTGCATTAGACAGTTGGTAAAGAGAGAGAGGTGGAGAGGCAAGAAGAGAGGGAAGGAGAGAGAATGTGGTTGAATTCGACAGGAGAGGCATGGCCGCGTTTTCGTTGTGCAAATAATGGATTATCTACGTATGGGTACACATCGTGCACGGTTAATATAGTCTTCCGCGTGTGCTCTACTTGCCTGTAAGCATGTAAATATACATATATATGTCTGGTCTGAAAATATGTATATATATATATGATATAATCGTGTATAAAATGTTACTTAATGCATGAGAGATAAATTTGAGATTGAAAAATTAATAATTTGGATGTTTTAAAAGAATGAGATATTTATTCGGTTGTGAAAATTCGTCTGAATTCGTTTTTGTTTAGGATTTTATGATGGATAAAAAATATTTTATTCTATTTTATTATTAAAATTTTTTTTATCAAATATTGCTTATATAGCATAAACAAACATATCCTAAAACGCTTCTTCAGATATATGAATTCAATTAAAATTTACTAGAATTAATTAATAATAAGAAAATTTTGTTTCAATATTATTTTAGAAATGTTCTAATAATTATTCGAATTTCTATATTTGATTCATAAATTAATAATATTAATTGAGAAATTATAAATTATCGATTATTTCTGTAATTAAATTAATTTTTCATAACATTATTTTTATGTGATACCATTTTAACTCTTCGTCTTTATCAATTTTTCCGGATCGAAATTTCGAAATTCAATTTAAAAGAAAGCGATATTTTCCAAGGTCTCTCGAATAAAAATAAAAAAAAGAAGAAAGGGAAATTTAAAAAATTTCATTTTCTTTCTGTGTTTGACACAATGCGTGTTCGATGAACATAGATTCATTTAATGAAGAAGTATGGAAATTAAAACGAATAACCGAAAGGGGTTAAGGTAAGGGGGAAGGGGGAAGATAGATAGATTTCTCCTGTACGAGCCAACATTTCGAGGCATCGAAACGACGCGTTTTTTTATTTACGTATTTATGAGATTACATAACGGTACGGTTTCGACAAAAATGATTAAAAGCAAATATGTACGGTAGGGTTTTTCGTGATCCGGCGAATACGAGGACAAGGAATCTCGTCGAACGTGTATAATAATACAACGATACAAACCAAGTCAAATCAATCGTAATATTACGGCAGATAACGAGAAATTCATTTTTCTATAATTCAATATATAGGATACATTTCCCTCCTGCTCATCCCTCTCCATCTCGATTCAACTGTATTTTTCATTAAAACGAAACGTTATACATATGCATATAACGGAAAATACGTAAAACGTAACGCGATAATGGAAATTACTACGTCGAATTATTTTATTCCTGTTATGAATATCGATGAATATTATTCTCGTGGTTTTTGGCCATGGAATAAAATCTTTGGAATTGGGGAACTTTATGGAATGGGGTCTACGTGTAAATATATGTGTACACATGTATACGCATATATCCGTGTACATATATCCAGAATGATTCGATTACCGATGTTTGGCCATGTGTGTTCAGTGCAGCACATTTTAATGATGTGCAAACGCTGCTCTTGCAGAATTTATCGTAAACAAAAATTCGTTAGAATCGATAGAGGGAAGAGCGTTTTCGAAAGAATTTTCTTTTCATTAAATTACACTCTATCTCTTTTAACAAAATCGTTGTATAATCGTTGTATAATAATCGAACGAAGAATTTCAATCATTTTAACAAAGTTAGTTTTTCAAAAGCAATCAATAGATAATTCATATCTAATAATTAATAGAATGAATGGCACGGAAAAGAATCTATTAATAATCTTCAAACACTTTTAAATTACCCATTTTAATTTTCCATTCTTGCTCGCGAAATGAATCTTGCAAGATTAAAAAAACTCACTCTGAATTTTTATTCTAATTATTCCAATTGTGATATTGGATTTATGATTGGATGATTAAAAGTTTTATTCATTATATTTTTTATTTTTAATCAAGAAAATATTTATTGAATGAAACAATTTGTTGAATTAATTATTTTAATAGATAGTCAATAATCATTCATATAGATTAGGTAATTAGAAATAAAACCGAAATAAATCTACTTATCAAAATTTTGTAAAAATCGTATAATTTTTTGAATCAAATAAAACAATGCTAAATAAAAGAAAATCACTTGATTCGTTCGTTCCGATTGATTAACTTTCTAATTATACTCGTCAAACATTCAAACAGCGTAAAATGAAGAAAAAATTTATCTTCTTTCGTTTTTACAATTCTATCAACGAATTGCGTGTAATATTAAACTAATATTAAAACTAATATTAATATTATGAATAAAAATGAAATGGAACATTATCTTTGTTGTTAATAAACTCCTGTTTATTTCATTTAGTTCATATACAAAGACCATTTGCTTAAGCCAGGTTAATCGAGCTTTCTTTCTATGCTTAATTCCCAGACATAATGAATAAACGGGCGATATTCTCTGTTTGCTCGACGCATAATACGCAGATACACGTGAACGATTAAAATCAAAGAGAATATTTTATTAACACCAGAGCCGGCGGATGCACGTAGGGGACACGTGTAATAATGCTCACTTGTTGGTTTAACCCATTAGTCGACCCTTGCATGCTTGTTCACATTTGAATCATCGATACGCGCACGGCTACAAGATAGAAAAAAAATTAAATACATTGTTTAGTATATTCTATACAATTATTTTATCTCAATAAGTAATCAAATAATTCTAATTTCTTTGTCGGATTTAACATTAATTGATATTAGGATATTAAAGTTTTAAGCAGAGGATGAATCATGAGGTTAAATATTTCATTTTGTTTAAATTATTTTAATAAGTAAAAATAATTAATAAAATTGTTCAATATTGATTTTAGTATTTTTGTGCATCTATTAAATTTTTTAAACGTGATCCAATATAACTTTCATTATTAATATAACTTCATTATTAGAATAGAATAGATTATTAGAAAGTTGAAATACATCTGATGTATACTGTACAGTTCATTTTATATTAATTTTTTTGTAAATTGTAATTCGATGATCAATTAATTTTGATTTGAAAATTTTTATCGTGATTCATATTCATGAAAAAATCTTTCACTATGATCCATCCTCGTTGATTCAATAATTAATTAAATTTCTCATAATGAATTTCGATCGAAAATCATTGATCGATTTAAAGAGAATTATGGAGAATAAAAGAATTACATGCGTGGATGGAGCTAAAGGTGAATAAATAAAATAGGGAGGAAGAAAGGAAAGGGAAAGGTGTATGGAACTAGTTCTCTCGTGATACCCTTTATGAAATATTCAAGGTATACTCCTTGTCATTATTCTGTTTCGAGCCAGCTTAATTAGCACGTAGCTAATATTTCTCCCTTACCAGAGAGTACCATACCTTTTCCTCTCTCACCACTTTTATTTCGTCTCTTTCTTTCTGTTTCTCTGCTTCTCACACTGTTTCTCTTTCTATCTCACTCTCCCCTTCTTTTTGACTTATCGTTTGAACAAGCTCGACGACATTCTTCCGATTGTAATAGTCTTTGTTTCGCGGCCTTGAATGCTCCTACGCAGAATAAAAATAGTTTTACGGGAAATGTTAGATATCCAAGAGATATAAATTTCCTCTATGAAAATTATTGCAGCGTGTATTTTTTTTCATCGCGTCTATTCTTGATAATTATTTTGAATTTGTCTCGAATAGTTATAGATATCATAATTGTTTGGAGGAATAATAATTAAAGTTTGAATTAATTATAAAATAATTTCAATATTAGTATTAAATACTTACATATTGCCTATAGTTGTCGTTGTTTACTTCGGTAATATATTATAATTTTTATTTTATTAATATTTTATTAAGAAATAAAAATATATTTCATTAAAAATTTATATTGTTATATTGAAAATAATGATAATATTAAAAACTTTACAAATATGACTGTTTTCTCTTTTCTTCAATTTAAGTTGTTGAATCAAGTCACTTGTGAGCCTCATGGCGCCACTGGTAATTATAATGCTGATTGACTTCCATGGCATTCAATTGCTAACCTTCGATGGATGTACTACTTTCCATGGATGTACCGCGACATTTATAATAAGTAATATTTCATTTTTATCTTTCATTCTATATTTTTGATTTTTTATGACTTAAGGGTACCATTTGAAATTCAAAGATAACCTACAAATATAATATATACTAAAAAAGTAATACAACAACTCTAACCTATAATTGTGATGCAATTTGTGTGATTTTCATCACACAAAAATATATCCCAATGCAATATTAAATATTATAACAATTAGCTACGATTTTGCAATCGTTCAAAGTGATCTGCACGCCTTTGATATATTGGACTACGATGATACATGCACTAATCTCTGGAGGCCTGTCACACACTATACTCGTACCTTTCGAAACATGGCGAAAATTATTGTTGACGCAGGACTACCGATGTTACTGTATCGGCCGGATATAGCCAACGGAAGAGACGAGAGGAAGAATTATCTACCGAGCAATCATATAAATGCCATACGAGGAATATTCGCGACACTGATTGGCAGTTATTCCCTTGTGCTGGAGAAATTGCTTCTCATAATTTAACATTGCATATACGATACAATGGATAATTTTACAAATACTTGAATAGAATTGATCGGATAATGGCCTCGATCCTTATTAAAAATCATGAATTAAATCCTTATCTTTGTTATTTATTTATTTATTTATTTATTTATTCGTTGTATAAAGTGAAAATTTGCATTTATTATGAAAGAAAATTTAATCTTTAATGTGATTAAGAAATTTAAAAGATTCGTATATCTAAAAAAATCATCTTATAAATTATTAAATTTATGAGGAGAAATGATAATAGAGAAAAATACAAGTAAAATAATTTTTAAAGTCATAAATTAGTTTATTAATATAGCTTTAATTGTCTGTTATATCAAACACTCTATTGATTTATTTGATTGATGTAAATAACACAAAACTAACAAGACGTTCATCTCATACTAGAAATTAATAATTATTGTGAATATTGTATGATTTACAAATTGATTAATTACATCATATATGCAATGAAGAAATATAAAAATTTCTCAAATAAACGACACCATTAAAGATTAAACATTTTGGATTATTATTAAATTATTTTAATATAATTGTTTTCTTTACAAAATAAAATATAAAATAAATAAATAAAAATAAAATATAATATTAGTAAGTAAGTTTCTAACTATAATTTAATTATTTATTCATTCATTATTCCAATTTCAATTTAAAAATAAACTTTCTACAAAATTTTGATTAAATATATCTATTAACAATTAATATTCTAATGTTTCCTATTCCAGATAATAAATCAATTTTCCAACTTTTTCATACTATTGAAATCAAAATTAAATTAGCATAAGTTAAGAACCAGAGATTTTTAGATTATTACTAAAAAAAAAAACATTTTTAAACTTTTTTTGCTCTGTAAA